GATTTTTGAGTCGTACGGACCGTTGCAAGTTGTGTTCCTCTAGAGAGTTTCTCTAAAGAGTGCGTCGCGAATTCGTTCGGACTCATTAGAACCACTCGAGCACAGACGTTCTCTGGCAAAATGCGACAATCTGTCAGGATTGTTGAATAGAAATGGTTGCAGTCGCGAATTGCTGCTGGGAGTAAAATGACCCGCGTGTCCATCAGATTTGATAACCTGGACGTTATTCAAATTAATTCATAAATTAATTATGTATACATATATATATACGAGTTGTGATGATGAAATGTTTTTGAAGTTTGTACTTGATGTAAATACAACTGCTATAATATTATATTACAATAATATCATTTTTAAAAAATATTTTTTATTATTTTGATTATTATAACTATCTAGATAGTTATAATATATCATCGAAAAAATTGTAAGTAAAAAAATGTATACAAATATAAAACATCATGTGTATGAGAAAACAATAGTTTGAAAGAGAAATATTTATCTGGTGAAATAACGGTACTTAAAAAAAATGAGAGCAAAAATTGACAGCATTTATAGGATGCGTTGGTTTCTATTTATTTCGATATTACGAATACGTCATATTTTTCAATCGTTTCGAATCATGTTACACAGGAATAGCGACATATGCAACGTAACATGTTATATTAGTATTACAATTTATTATTTATTAAATCGTAAGAATTAAATCGATAGAATTTGGTGAAGTAAATGACATAATTTTTACATCGTTATAATTTTTTTCGGATGTCTCTTGTGATTTGGAGTATCAAGTTTTTCGACGACACACGACAGAACATACTTAATCATAGACATAGTATATCTAGACCGAGCGTTTGCCTTTATTTAAGGATGACGTTCTCAAACGCAGCCCTATGTTCCAATTCTCCACCCTGGTGCACTCGATATTATAGTGTACGTGACATACTATGGCTGCGGTCCGAAATACGCTCACAGCGCTCATAGTACTGAAAATCTATAGTTTACGTCACGTGCACTATAGCTGGCAGCGCGCTAATAGCGCTGCGAACGTATTTCGGACCGCAGCCATAGTATATCTAGACCGAGTGTTGAGGATTGGGGGCCGATGCCCACGTAGAAAAGGACATACTCTGTTTCGTGCCCCTTGCGTTCTCTCTCGCTCGCACGTAGCATGACGAAAGAGAGCGCTATGCTCTGTGCGAGCGAGAGAGAACGCAAGGGGCACGAAACAGAGTATGTCCTTTTCTACGTGGGCATCGGCCCCCACTCCTCAACACTCGGTCTAGATATACTATGTCTATGTACTTAATTATACACGCGGTTTCTCATTAACGTAGTTGACCTGAAATTTCACGACGCGATACATCGCAACTTGGCAAATGGAATCAACTGGGACACGCGACTGTATTGATGCATCTAAAGGAACGGTGGCATCTATCATTCGTACGGCCGATGATCCAATTGTCGCGTGTGACGAGACGTGAGCACGCGAGAGTCCGTAAAATTGAATTGCGATTGGATGTCGCGCCGGAAAATCATTTAGTCCACCGTCGTTGCGAGTCACGAAACGTTGAATTTAATTGAAAAGCGAAACGCGGCGAATATTATTGCTATCGGGGATTTTTATAGCTATCGTTAAATGCCTGCGTTTAAAAATTATTGTTATATCTTTCTTTTTACCTGCCGTCTTTTACGTTGATTAAAAGCGTCGTAATTTAGGAGTGACTGCTATCTCAGGTAAGAAAGATTAGAAAAGTCGCGTCGGAATTGAAGAGACACTCCATACATCACTTGTACGCGCATTCACGCTTCAGACTTTAAACTGCCATAACCGAATGCACTCGCTAACACTCTCAAGGGGCGAGAAATTGTCGCTGAATCCGCATTCCTTAAAGGTCCCTTAGATTTATTCCGAGCGATCGTCAAAAGCACCGGCCGCCGTTGTGCAGGACGAAAGGCAGAAAGGCGGATCGTGGAAGCGCGATTTTTTGATTCCGACTTTTCGTCCGGACTCGTCGTCATTCAGTCTGCGCGATCGGTCCCTCTTCCCCCCTTCCTCCTCCGTGTCATTGATCCACCAAACGTATGAATGAATGAATCGAGTCTACGCGACCTCGGGGACTTCTTGGCTACTGTGAATGGGACGTGGTGTTGTCGCGCTCGGGCCCGAAAAAAGGCAGCCGGCTGGTTTTCACGTTTCATCGGGCCCCGCGAATGGCAACACAAGTGTTCCATTGTCGGTCCAAAGCTCGAGGTTTCAAGAGCGCGAGATCTTGACGCATTGTCGCACAGCTTTTTAACACCATTAACTACGTTTTACCTTAAATTTAACCTAAAGTGGGGGCCCTCTTGACAAATTTTCGGGATTTAGGGCAACACGACCGGTTCCCCGTCGACAATAGCAAACGAGCCATTCGAGTGACCGCGTTGTACTCTTGTTGAGTTGTACTCTTTCTGGACGATCGTTTGACTGGAAAATCGTGTATATAGGCGCGCGTTACGCCGTCAAAGCTGATGATATATGTTAGAGATTCTCTATGATGAACATTTGATATGTGTGTATTTATTCATACGTTTCATATATAAAATATGTCTTTTTTGATAATCACTTATATGTATGTAATTTATAATTTGCTACAATTGTCATTTGTCGTTTGGATCGTGGCCCTAAGTACATAATATATGTTATATATATTGTATTTTGAATAAAAAAATTGAGAGATATGTATATATAAAAGAGATAACAAAATTTTATTGATTCTCTTAGTAATTATGTTTTTATATATTTAATTAATTAAATTATTTGCATTGATGATATATTAAAAAGAAAGTACTTTACGTTATTCTTATTTTTGTTACATTTTCTAAATTATATATAATTATATATAATAGAAATAATTTTACGAATATTTCCGAAATTATATATTTTTACATTTTTATTATAATACAATGGCATTTGATGATTTTATTATAATAAAGTAATTAAGAAAGAGCTGCATTAATACCTACTAAGAAAAACTAAATACATTTAATTAAAGCTGAAATTCTGGGCTTCAGAATCCTAATTATTTATTTTGTATGATGAAATGAGGAATATTATCAGTTTTTTATTAATCAAAAAAATTGTTTTATATATTTACTATTTATGACACTTTTAAATCCTGAGAGAAGATACTTTTTTTAAATTAAATTCTCATATTTTTAAATTCTGAAAATTTTTATTATATATGATAATCTTAGAATTTACTCTTTAAATTTCTCTTTCAAGTGATAATGTTTGTATTGAGCGCATAAATATATCGTTAGCTTGCTATCAAGGAATTAAGGTACAAATAAAAATATATTAATAATGTAGCAAGAGAGAGTAAGAATTTTATTCCGACTAACTTTATATTAAAAATATACAATCTTGATTTTATAAATCATACAAAAATACAATATATTTATTACTATACAATTGTATACAATATATATTTACATAATATGTACAATAATGGTCAATGCATTCAATTTTATTGTTCATGCCTTTTCTCAGAACGCTTATCTACACTTTTAACTATTGATTGAATTTATCTACTTGTAAAATTATCGAGAGTTTGAATTTCTTGAATTATATATTACATAGTATAAGTTCTGAAACTTATATACACACTTCCGGATCTATGAGTTAACGATTCTCTCGACGGTGTGCTTCGTGCATCCTATATTCCTGAACATCGGAGTTGTAATTGCTTCTGGATTCGGAGTCTGATAATCTGCCACCGCTTCCATCTTCCTCCTCTTGTCATCTCGTTCGCCCACGTCTGGCAGACTCCTCTTGCAACCTCGAGAGAGATCCCGTGCCTCGCATCCTATTGCCTGATCCTGCACAGAGTTTATTCTCGAGAATTCAAACTTTGCCTCGAAGCAGGCATCTTCATTCGCGATCGATCGCTCGAGAGGTTCGGTTTCGGTGAATTTACGAATGGATTTGCCGTCGCCGCTCTCCCTCTTCGGAGACCTCTTTTCATCCTCTTCCTGATCGCATTTTCTGCCAGGAGATTCTTCCCCGCAGCTATCCTTCCGTTTACCGCAGGTCCTCAAACAGCAGCATTTTTGGCTCTGACCGGATGGTAAATCCTCCTTTTTGTACTTTACCCGGCGGTTTTGAAACCAGATTTTCACCTGTTTCTCCGACAGTCGCAGATTAGTCGCGATCTCGATGCGACGCAACCGTGACAGGTACATGTTTGAGGCGAACTCGCGTTCCAACTCCAACAGCTGAGTGCTAGTAAACGCGGTCCGGATACGTTTAGAGCTGTTGTTGATGGAACTCGGAGATTTCGGAGGAGGCGTCGGAGTGCTGTTACGGGACGGAGATTCGCTAGGCGCTGAAATATCTGAGAAAAGGTCAGGGGTTAATGGTTGCTTGCTACGAGATCGTTGTTGCGACGGGGAAAACTCAATAGATTCTTTGCGTGCTTTTACGTGATATATCTAGGAATTGAGAATACACGAAGATGTATGTTTTTTATGTCAAAATAATATCTTAAAAATCTTAGAAAGTATAAAAATATTCAAAAATATTTACATTAAAAGATAAATATATAAAACAAAATTATAATTTTTTTTATTTTTATTTTAAAGTATATTAATGCAGTTGATAATTGCTATAGTATTTTATGAAAAGTAATTTATGAAAAGATTTTATGAAGATAATTTTGGAAATATATGTGTAAAATAACAAAATTATTATTTCTTTTTATTTGAAGTTTATTATTTATTTGAAATTAGATGGTATCTCTGTGAATATAATTTTGAAGTTTATTTCATTTTAATTATAATTGTTAAGAATTCTAAAGTGCATATCATTGTAATAAAGGCAATCATATATTATTATACATTCGCGAGCCATTAATGGACATTTACCATAAGTTAATTAGTGACCATATTTACCTGATAATCTGCTCGTTGAGGTATTCAAAGGCGACGGTGGACTTTGTCCAGGTATTGGCAAAACACCTAACGTCGGTGGATTGATAGACACGGGCATAGTGGGTGGTCTGGGCACCGGTCTAATCGGCTGGTAGCTCAAGCCCAGATTGAAAAAGTTGAACATGTAATTAGGAAGTTGATTTCCATAATACGGTAACGGGTACGAAGGCGGCGAATTGTTGCCGATTAAAGAGTCCACTAGAAAGCTTCGAGACATCCTCTCGTCGATGAAGCACTTTTCGGATGATCAACGCAACTTCTCAAGTTATGTCCAATTTTAAACCGCAGAAATCACACGTGACACTAAATAATCCAATAATCATCGAGATTGGCTTGTCGCACTTAACTTTAATTTTTGCTTTAATAGGATGAATTTTCTTTCTTCTCAAGAACGTATTTTGAATTATCTTTTGTTTTTCTCTGATTTTTCCAGAATACGCGATATTAATTTACACTGTTTTTCAATGTTTTAAATTGTCAGACAAAATTAAATATGAACTCGTAGTTTCGACTGCACGACGGTGCATCGAATTCTGCATCCCGAAGACCCCGGGCTTGCTATATATATAGGGTGCAAACTCCACCCAGGGGTTGGTTTTTGATCTGGGGCCCTTTTATGCTGGGCCCCGCCCTTCTTCTTCGTGAGGGTGCCCCTTTCGGGGTTCACCCCAACTGCCCTCCCCGGGGAACGACAATGAGTAGGGCATTTTCTCGCAGCGCTAATTCGACGGGTGGCTAATATTGCCGGAAATTTTATACGGCCTCTTTAGCCATCTTCTATTATTATCGACGTCCCGACGCGCTGTATACTCTACTCGCCGTTATTTCAAAGCACAACAACTGATGAGCTCAAAGTATGATTTAAATCGATTGAAATAAACTTATACTGGCAATACCGGAAATTAAATCTTTGTTTTCTAAAAGAGTTAATAAGAAGCTTAAAATTATCCTTAATTCTGAGATCAATTTTAAAAATCTTAATGAATAAATTGCAGCGAGATAATTTTTTTACGATTTACAAAAATTAAATATTTTATAAAAAAATTTTTGTTATACATATATTGGATGGATTACAACTCAAAGATATTATACTTATTTTTAACGGATCTCATAAAAGCGTCTCAACGCTGATACAATCTATGTTATTCGAACGATGACCTGGATTCATACATTTAGTACGAGAACAGTTTAGGAAAAAAGATCCTTTCATCTATTTCTGCGATTTTTCTTCACGGACAAGGGTAGAACAGTTTCGAGTTCGTTCCACCTTTTCTCCTTGTCAACATTTATCAACTGGGCTTCTTTGGCACGTGCTGAAAAATCTGTGAGGGCAATCAGGATAAGCTGGTAGGAGGAATCATTTAAGAACATTGATACCTATCTCGGTTTGTGTGGAAAGCTTTATTAGTAATCTTCAAACGCGTGAAATTAGGCAAACGACATTACAATAAATCTCGAAAAATAAATTAAAATCAGACGTAAAACATGTAATATTGTACTTGGTATATCTGTATTTATCGAAACGTATAAGAAATATTTTAGAAAAAGAGACAATAAGAGAGACAAAGAGAAAAAGAAAAAGAGAAAGAGAGAGAGATAGAAAGAAGCCGCTTTCCGCCGACGTCTCTTCAAGGGATGAAACGTAATTTCGTTTTTCTCTGCGGGTCGATACTCTGCAGCTCAGCTCGCTGAAATCAAATTTCGGATTTGCCTTAGAAACTGACACTTTCCCGGTTTTATTTTTTACCTGTCTCTTTTCTTTTCCTCTTCATTTACAAGAATTTGTATTCTCGAGTGTATTACTCTGATGAAATCTCATAGCACCGAGCAGAAATAAAAAATCGCTGATGTGGAGGATAACGAGAAAACTGCAGAATACGAGATGAAATAGGTATGTTGACTCACGAATACTGGGGATTGCCGAAAAATGTTTTGCGCACTCGAAATGAAAACAGCGGCGTGATTTATTGAATTTTACTTCGATGATATTTGAATGACGTAAAATTATACGAAAATTAATTTTTTTATCGCGTTTCTGCATCATTGACTTTAATCTATTTTAATTACATTTTGAAAGGAGAGTTATAACGTCTTAATTCTATTGAAACGAAAAAAACACTTAGTTTTTCTATCGTGAATTTCAAAGAATTAAATTTATTCGCGCGCACACATCAGATAAATACATACAAGCGTTAATATCTAAATTATGATATATTAATCGTGCAAATGTAAATAAAATATAAAATGTACAGAAAAATGTGTATCTTTATGATTTTATAATATTTATAGAATCCATCAGTTATTGATTATGCAAATGAGAGCTTAATCATTATTCATGGAATATATTTATCTGAAATTTTAGTAGAAGCACATTGCTTTCATGTAACATATATTAAGATTTCCTTCCAAAATCGCCATTACGATATAACGAAGCGTATTGACAGAAACAGAAAGAGAGAGTGAGAGAGAAGAGCAATAACGTTTCAGTAATATGCCGTTTGACTTGCACACGCGCGACTAATTTCTTGATTAGCCGTTGCCGTAATTTATCGAGCGAGTCGCGCAATAGAGGAGACCGCGCGATCTGCTCACAAAGCGGAAAATTACTGTTTAACATGAAACGCTGTTTCGAATATCCACTTTCACGATCAGAATTTCGACCTAGTCATCGCACGAACTTATTCTTGTGCGAGTGACTTTGCGCCGATTGCACCTGTCGATCCGAAAATTAATTACGCGCGACGATACGTTATTGCTTACGATGGGGGAGACACGATTCGATAATTGTTTTGCAATTGGGGCAATATGATATGATGATAACATACATCGTGAATACTAAGAGAATAGTAATCGTTACAATATTCCAATATCGAATTACAAAATTATCGATTTTTAATTGTGTCTTAAAAAGTATTAAAAAATAACCTTATTTATTAATCGATTAATAATATATTTAGTTAAATACAAAGAAATTTTTTTTCTTTAATGTAAATTCTCAGTTTTGCCTTTACTGTTAGGAAAATACTTTAACATTTTTTATCATCGTTTTCTATATCGCATTTGCCATCGTCAATGATAAATCTACAACGGCAATCTTTAAGGGCGGATATCTTAATATTGGCGGATAATATATCGTATATATATATATTATTTAGCACGCGCCGACAGAGTTGAGAAAACATAGCCGCGATTTTAAACCCCTAACAACACGACTAATCCCATTATCGAAGTATACATGAAGGGTCACATCCCCCGCACTCTCGCGTCCTCGCGTCTACGTATTAAAAATCACGGTAACGTTATCTTACGCGTTCTAGAGTCGTGAATAATACAATAACGCTTCTCTCCCCTGCCTCAGCATATGTCCGTCGGATTCGCGATTTCAAGGGGGTGCCCGTGGAACCCTTCGACCGAGGATCGAAAGTAGGGACCACCCTTCTCATCGCGAAGGGAACGATCCGGACTAGGACCATATACTCCACGTCCTGTGGACTCACGTGCGTCGTTACCAGCATATCTCTCGCGTCATTACGTAGGAAGGATATTTTAATTTCGTGCACGACCCTCTACCTGGAATCATCCCATTGGTTGCTCCCCTTTATTTCGGGGCGTGACTATCCTCGTATGGTCCCGATAGCTGCCCAATCTTTGTGGCCATAAGCACTCAAAATTTCCGTTTCGAGAACAGGCCTTCAAATGTGGCGATTTTATCGAGAGCATCGAAGCATCGTGATTTCAGTAACAGCCATAGCGAAGCGTAGCGTTCCAGAGTGATAAAAAATAGTAATTTATGATAACATTTACATTATTTTATAATTCATATGTATAAAATTTTTATTACTTATTCTCAGGGTGAGTCGAGGTTATCATGTGAAATTTTAGTGACAGATACATTATTTAAACTCGAAACCGAATTTGTTATGAAAAATATATCTTTCATGAAAGAATATTCTTCCAAAGATTGAGAAATAAGGATATTTAATTTTAAATAAAGAATTTACCTTTGACATTTCATATGCTGTTTGCGTATAAAATACAAGGACATCATGTGAATAGACATGTGCGTCTTTATAGAAGATGCGCACTCGTGTCAAGAATAGTGCATGATCTTAAAGAGGAAATTACCTTTACTAAGTTCTTCTTTTGTGAATGGAACGCTTCTATGTATTAAAAATTATAAGTGTGAGGAAATAATTTTTGATTCGATTTTAATATGAGATGCTCTCGATTTCGAGAGGAAATCCAGCATCGATCGATTCTGAAAATTAATTGAATCAAAGCGACCTGTATCGGGAGACTAGATAATAATTGTTTGTTGTGGTTATACAACACAATTTGCGTATAGCTATTCGAGATAAGATCATACCTTTGTCAAATGACATAACGATATGAAATATTCATATATAGCTCACATTTTTTTAAATAGCTCACATTTATCTTAGTAACGCGTTATGTAATTTATTTTATGCGTGGTAGATGGGGGAAGGGAGGGGAATCGATCCAAAGTGGAATCTAAACATGGGTTGGAAATCTCTCTCTTAGAGTGGAATATCGAGATAATCGCTATCATATACATACATATTCGATTCGGCCTGTTAGTGGGGCAAACTCATCCCCGTTGTGGAACTTTCAAGGTATCCTGCTGCGAGGCAATATCGTCGATAGCAAATCTTGTGCAATGCTCGTGACTGCATTCAAGCTAAATATTTGAGAACATGCGGTACCTCGTTTCGAAAGTTATAAGGTAAAAATGAAGCTGAAAAGAGGACAAACTGATTTTCTCGCCATCGATTCGACGTTAAGTACCTTCACTTGGGCATTAACCTTTTGACGTACTCTGAGACCTATGTAAATGTCGGCAAACATATTACGCGCGCAGATGTCATATTTTTCTCGAAAACCGATGTAAACTCCGACGAATTGCCGATGTTGGAACTGACGGCTTAACGAGCTGGAAAGAAGAACTTACATTTCCAACTTCTGTAAATCGCATCTCAACTTCTCGCCTTGCTTCATATTTTCCTTTACCTTTCCTCATATTGGCGGCTGACTTGTCATTTTTACAATACGATACCTAATCGCGAATTTTCGTTGGAAAAATAAAGATTCTATTTCGATAATATTTGATCATAAAATCGACTAAAAGCGTTCGAGCTTGAAACTATAACTATCTCGAAAAATATTTCTTTCATCTTTTCTCACGTGTGCAACAGTTGA